ACCACTTTGACGCCTGCCGACAGTACAATAATGGTGCCCAGTTGCCAAATAAATGTGCTTAATAGACGAACCGGTGTAGCTGAGACCAGCCTGTGGTGGAACCTGGTTTAAGGTCATGTTTAGATTCCAAAAATTCATTTTAAAGTGTCACATCGAATTTTGCGGTACATGTATGGAGTATTAAATGTAGACGAAAAAAATTAATTGCACAGTTGGATGAGAAATCGCGAGACAAAACTTTCGAACCTAATTAGTCCGTAATTAGATACTAATTACTAAATACAAACGAAAATGCTACGGTAGCCAAACAGTAGCCAAACCTAAAAAAATTTGGGAACTAAATGCGCCCTAAGTCTAACTTAACGTGAGTGCTTATATTTTTCATATTTATTTTATGTTTAACGGTGTTGTTCTTTTAGCAGTAACTGACGTGTTTATTGATAACGAGACGTATGTCACGTTTGTTAATCTTAAGATATGCCGTGCTCCTGGTTTAGTCCTAGTCCTTCGAAGATGCTCATAAGAATAAGATATGCGTGCTTTATAAAGATGAGAGTACGTTCATGTATAAATGTGTGTATTATACTATGATTCGCAAAGAAAAAGAAGAAATGCGCTTATGGCAATATGTTCGTGGACATCCTTTAATCACCTGCAGTATTTGCATATCGATACCACTTAATTTTGTCTTTGCCCATGAATATCCTTTAAATTTTATAATTTTCTATAGGGCACCCAATATGTTAAAATCACGATTTCCTAGTATGGATGAGACATAACTACTAGTAAAAGACAAAATTGATATTGCGTGCCTAAGCTAAGCTTGTGAACTATATCTTCTTCGACTCTCTCCGTTCTTCTCTTTCACTGGAGCTTGCTCCTACGCGTCCTGACCTCCACCCCTTTGCCCTTCTGCGCCACCGGCCCTACTCCTAGCTCAGTCTTGAGCATCGCCGCCCTTGCCATTTTTTTTTATTTTTAACACTTTTTAAACTAATTTTAAATCTAACACTGTTTTTTTTTCTTTCCAAAACTAACATTTTTGCCCGCGCCTATTTTCCTGGTGCGGCGAAACACTTGTGCCGCGTCATGCATGGTGGTGCGGCAAGAGGGATGACGTGGCGACGACCGAGGCGCTGACCGGTGACGTGACAGGGTCTGCCGCGCCACCGATCTTGGCACGGTACTGACGCGCCAAGGCCCACGGCGCGGCAGAACCTGGACACAACATTAATAAGGCTTGTGCCCATTCCTTTGGTGTGGAGTACTGTATCTATAATACTCTTATATAAAGCTAAACCTCACTAGATAATTTTTCTCTTTATGCAAGGTGTCCACATCATTTTCCACTAAGTCACTCATCGAATGTTCCATCTCTTCATGCATATATAGTATTATGTAGTGGAATGAGAAAGGACATAAGTATATATGATAGAAAGCGTGCATTCAAATACACTGATTATTGGGAGATGAAACACAAACCTTGCATGTTTAATGAGAGCAAGTTTTATATGGTACGGCAAAAGCAATTAAACAGAGTGTTAGTGGAATTGAGAGGACGGATGGCCAGGATCAACACAGTTACTTAAGATCGGATGGCTGAAATATTAGTGATGGTGTGGCTTCACTAGAGAAGAGAGAAATAGTAGTTAATGACACATTCCATCTATATAGGTCATATATATCCAATAAAACCTCTCCCATTCTTCGTCTCTGTCTCCGAAGAGGAACGGGCGGAAGGTCATCATGTTCTTCTCCTCTCCTGTAGAAAACGTTTCTGCGCAAATCATTGTAAGCTCTCCTTGTCCTCTGGTGATTTCTATCGATTTCTTTTATTTAGATAGTCGAGGAAATTCCTTTAACCTATACATCATTAGAGTTTCGTGCTTTTGTTTCTTCCGTACCCTAGCTGTCCCCCTTGTTAGTTCCATTTTTTTCCTAATCTCTCTCTCTCTCTCTCTCTCTGAGATCATCGTTCATGTAGTTTGTTTTCCCCTCCATAATGCATTTAAGTTTCTTAAAGAATAGAATGTCGAATTGTTAAAAGGGGGAGGATTGGAGGAAATTGAGCAGGTTATAGCACAAAGAAACGGTAAAAAACAAAGTTTTTTTATACAGGTACGGTACCAAGATGAGGAAACCTTCCAAGGGATGCAAGGAGAGGGATGCGAATTACCACCGGAATGGTCACACAGATGACCATGGCAAGATTACTGATCAATGTAAAGATCTATGTTGGTAGCCATGAATGGAATAGCATCACTTACAAGACTATTTTGGCAATTTTATTTTAGAGCAATCTTTCTGCACCTTGGGATAGGAAGAAAATATATATTTACTGATTTTACAAGATATTGGCAGCATTAATATCAAAAAGATTCAAGTAATGAAATTGAATTAATCAAGTTATACCAACTCTTTGACTCTTTAGTTGCTAGCTGTTTTGCATCAGGAATCAATTTAGTGTTTCATCATATGACCAGGAATTCTCCAGAAAATACTCTGATGTATGTCTTCCATTGACGAGCATGTTGATTCTTTAGTGTCATGGCAAGAGTTGGGAAGTGATTTGCCGCATTCAGGTTCTAAAAGCTCAACGCAAAGTTAAAAGGCTTTCCAAAGGGTGGACATGATTTGCACGTGACAACAATTTGCACCTGGGAGATATCTGCCTCTTTGAGCCACTGAAGACCCAGAAGTACATGATGAATGTGCGTATCATTCACAAAGAGTGAGATTTGGGTAGTGCTTTTTGCTGCTGTTTTCGACTTGTGATTTTGGGTTTGATAAGAGTCGCTTATGGTCATGTGTGTCAGTCGTTGGTGCCAACTTTTATAGTAGTGATATTAAAGTTTTTATGCTTGGCAAGGGTACAGCTTACTCTGTTTTGTTAGATAAGGGAACAAAGGGGTACAATTTACTCTGTTGAGTGCTAAACAATATAATCTATGGTCTATCCATCCCCTGATTAGTTGACTGTGCCGTGTGGGCCATGCGGTACATCTGTCGAGTGCGCCGTGTGGGCTGCACGGACGATCATGCGCTAGGCAACGATAATGCTCTTGTGAGCAGTGGGCGCGGCGCAGGCGCGGCGGCGGGCAGACGGGTGGGCAGGGCGTGGCGCGGCGGGACTGGGCCGCGGGCCTTTAGCCGGCTCTGCCGCGCCACCGATCAGGGCACGTCACCGCCGCGCCAAGATCGGTGGCGCGACAGATCCTACCACGTCACTGGTCAGCGCCCCGGTCGTCGCCACGCCATCCCTCTCGCCGCGCCACCATGCGCTTGCGCGGCACAGGAGTTTCGCCGCGCCATGCAAATAGGCGCGGCCAAAAGTGTTTGTTTTGAAAAAAAATAAACAGTGTTAGATTTAAAAAAAGTTTTAAAAAAATGTTAAAAATAAAAAAAATCGCCCATGCCACGCTTGGTGCTGCTGAGGCGGCACCGGCCGTGTTCACCGGTCAAAGTGGCCACCCCGCCGAGCTGAGATAGAGAAGATGGCATGCTCTTGCTAACACAAAAAAGAGGACACCCTTCTCCTCGCGCACATCGAAACCATCGTGGTGAGGCCCTGTGCTATCTGTCGCACCCACTAGGTCAATGATGTGCACGATCTTCACCGACACAATGGCCTCCAGAATGGACTAGCTAGTGGCAATGCTCGCGAAGTGGAGGAACAGATAGAAGCTTGAGGAAGTGTTGGTGCGCGACAAGGAGCACAAATTGTCCATGATAATTGTGTCGATCGTATTCTGCTGCTTGAATCAACATATTTTTATTTGCTCTCTGGAGTTAAAAGAAACTACTAGGTATAAGTTTTAGCAAATTTTGTTTGCTCTTGCTACAATGCTACTATCATTCTTCGTGAAAAAGCTCATTTAAGATATTTTGATTAGAATTTGTATTTGTATGCTTGATTTGTAATAGTGTAGTATGCTTGATATGTAAGCAAACAAAAAAAAGTCAACTTCAGCAACCATGTTCGTTTCGCTAAAAATGGCTTATGCTGCTGCTGAAATATTATAAAAAAAAATACTGTTCGTTCGTTGAAAAGTACTGATGAAGTAGTGTTATAGCACGGTTTGTACTGTTGCAGCTGGTTAGCTACAAGAGTGAGAGAGAGAAACATACAACAACAACTTAGGCCTTGTTCATTTTGCAAATTTTTTTAACCCGATGAATAGTACCATTTTCGTTTTATTTGGTAAATATTGTTCAATCGTGGACCAACTAGGCTTAAAAGATTCATCTCGTGATTTTTAACTAAACTGTGTAATTAGTTATTTTTTTATCTATATTTAATACTCTATGCAAGCGGCTAAAAATTGATGTGATAAAGAGATAGTGAAAAAACTTGAAATTTGGATGGCATCTAGAGGCCTCAGTAAACTCTACGAGAAAGGCAGCCGGACAGAGCCGAAAATGGAAGAAAAACGGGAGGGCACTCAGAGAGGGCACTCAGAGACATGCGGTCCCACATCCGTGTGGACCCATCAGCTAGTCGCCCTGCAGCTACGCATCGTGTCAGTTTCCACCTCGCTCCCTTGTGCCCCGACAGGCACAGGGTCAAGGAAAACCATTTCTCACTGCGGAGACGGCCTCGAGCAATCCCTGCCCCGCGCGCCCTGACGAGCGCAGCACTCGCACGCCGGCCTCGCTGGGCCCACCTTGTGGCCCGTAATAACGATCCCCCTCGTGATGCCATGGTCCATCTGCCTCCACGTCGCTCCTAAATCCCCTCATCCAATCAAAGCACGACAGCCGACAGCGGGTCAGGCAAAACCACTCTCCTTCCCATCTGAAACCAAAACCACTCTCCTCCCCATCTGAAACCTCCCACCTCCTCTTCCTCTTCTCCTAGCTCTTTCTTGCCTGCGCACCACTCGAGTCGAGAGACGAGAGCCACTTGATCCTTCCTTCCCCGTCTTCCTCTTCCCACACGTCCCCATCGCCATTGCTGCGCCGAGAGTGAGCGGGAGAGGGTAGGTGTCGAGGCGGCGGAGATGGGGCGCGGGCCGGTGCAGCTGCGCCGGATCGAGAACAAGATCAACCGCCAGGTGACCTTCTCCAAGCGCCGGAACGGGCTGCTGAAGAAGGCCCACGAGATCTCCGTGCTCTGCGATGCAGAGGTCGCGCTCATCGTCTTCTCCACTAAGGGGAAGCTCTACGAGTACTCTAGCCATTCCAGGTATACGTATTCGATCCCCTCTCTTGTTCCTGCCGGTGCCGGTTGCTATGATCGCCCGCTTGGGGTTTGGAGCGCTGGGTGTGCTTCAACGCATGGTTTTGGGATCATTTTTCATGTGCCAATCCGCCGCGTTCGTCGAACTTCGGATGGGGATTGAGTTGTGGGAGGTGTTTGTAGATGCAGGCATGTATGGTTGTTATTACATGTTGGTTCTGTGTGGATTAATTCTAGTTGCTTGCATGCATGAGCTGTGCTCGATCAACGATCGCTTTAGATGATTCGATCGTGGAATCGCTTGCTGTTATTTCGTACGTACGTACACAGTGGTCATAGCCTATTTTTCTTTGACATGTATTATGACTTGGCGATACTGTCGTTGCAAACTGAAGTATGAATGTTATGAGTAGTAGTGCTGGTGAATGGCAATTAGCCCATGCAAAGTAAGTCCCAAGCCTTGAGCTGACTGCCTAATGGTTATTATGAAGACTCAACTTGGTAGTGCAGAAAGAGGTCAGGATTATTTGATTCATAAATACTGTGAAAAAAAGGAATGTCAGCCACAAAATATAACTGGGATCAGTCGCTGGTAGGATTCTGATTATCAAAGTATTTTTTTTCATCATGCGATTAAACTCTTCAGTATCAAGTAGGTGTATTGTTCCAGCATGATTTCTGCCAAAGGAAGCACTGCTATTGTCTAATGAATGCATGATGAGGAATATTAGTATACTGTTTGGTCCTTCGATGTTCCTTGTATACGTGCATCTCGCTGATTTTCAGATGGTCTGTGATAACCTGAACAAATCTTACAAGAACGAAATCTGCACCAACGAATCCAACGCCTTATTTTGCCACGTGTCGATTCCGGGTTGCCTCGGGTCTTGCCCATTAAGGCCCCGTTCGGCTTGCTGAAACTTGACTGAATTGGCTGAAAAACATTGTTCTGACTGAATTGTTGTGAGAGAAAAATACTGTTCCGGCTGAAAAAAAACAAGCTGAATAGTGCGAATTATAAGATAAGCCGAACAGGGCCTAAGCCGCAAACCCGACCGTCACGAATGTTCGCGAACCCACTCCCCTCATCCTCGGCCTCTCTCTACCAGCCGCGCCGGACTCCATCCTCCGATTGCTGCCGCGTGCGCCTCTTCCTCCTCCCGTTACCTCCGCCGTCCCCAGCTGCTCCGTAGTTGACGACGCGACACGGATACGATCCACTGGCAACCGGCGACAAGCACTAGTGCGTCTTGAGTCGAGTGGAAGCCCTCCTCCTCCTCATCATTCCGTCGCGCGCCTCCCTCCGTTTCGCGTATTGCGCAGCAACCGTTGCGGTTGCAGTGGCCAGCGCACGTCAATAATACGTGCACCTGTTGGCCCACAGGATCACCGGCTCAGGTGAGTGAACCACTCACCGGTCTTGCCGAGCATCCACTAGTGTTGCCGAGCCCCACTAGCTAAGCCGACCATGAACGAGCGTTGTCCGTCCCCACACACTATGGCCAGAGGTTGAAGAAGAGAGAGAATAGAGCATACACACACAGTACAAGACATCAGCGTTGACCGAAGCCCTGTATGAGAGATGGTAAATCTGAACTCTCGTTACTGAGTTGGCATGGTAGTCTATTTATACAACTATATCCATCTAGTCCTAATACAGCGCACATGCTGTAACAGTAACTAGATAACACAGCAGGGCTGACTCTGCGCCAGCCTCTGCATGTGGCTACAGTGCTGCAGGTGAGCCGTGTGGCGCCCACACCTACAACGGCTATAGTATCACAGCAGGGGGCTTTTTCGGCACTGTCTGTGTTCACACCAGAAAAGCACAGAAAAGCATTCTAAGAGCACCTCTCCAGCGCTACGATATGCTGCGGCGCTTAGCCATCTCAACTGCCGTCCTCCGCACTCGACATGCTCCGCCGCCCGCGCCGTTGCGGCCGCAAAGATGCACCCCTCCCTGTTGCCTCGGCATCTTTTGCGTAGATACGGCCCGAGGAGAGGAGCATGGCGGCCGAGGCAGCGGTGCCGCGCGGCAGCACTGACGGGTGACGGAAGCCACGACATAGCAGGCTAACCGCTAGCAGGCTCGAGAGACAGCCCCATATTGTTCGATGAAATGGCCATCCGGAATACCATGATCTCTGCCGCTCGGCCTTTACCTGTAGCAGCTGCCTGTGTTGTGCTCGAGGCCTCAATTGCGAGAGTTGTTCACGCTCGGGATTCTAGCTGTCGAGGTTTGGTTAAACGACATGCCTCTGTTTCCCAAGAAGTGGAAATAGTGCCTGGTATTCCACTGTAACATCAGGCATCAGTGGGTGCTGCAGCAGTTCGAGAGCCTAGAGAAGGCCAGCAATGTGCTCATCAATTCGTCCCTGACCTCGAACATAACGTCGGGTAATCCGGAACATGCCCTGTGCCTATTTTTTGGTTTACTGAAGTGAACTTTCAGTTTTCAATCCTGCAAAAAAAAAAAAAAATGACTGATACATGTTCCTATTATAAAGAGCTGATCCTTTATTAATAGAATGCTCAGTTTCATTCAATAGATAAAAGCAAGTAGCAGACATTAGACAGTTTCCTACGCAGATGAAAGCGTCGCCTTTGAGTTTGGACAATATACAATGGACACATAATAGAAAGCTAGGTGAAACTATCAGCAAAGCCTATTCGGCTGGTATTAAAGCCGGCTGATAAGCCGACTAAAACTGTTTTGTTGTGAGAGAAAAATACTGTAGATTCTAGCTGATAAGCCAGCTGATAAGTTCAAGCGAACAGTCCCTTGCCAACCTCGCAGCCCTGCAGTCCCGCTACTTTAGTTCTGCTGTAATCTTGTTCCCCTGTTCGTGGACAGTTCTGCGGCTTATTTTAAGTGCAGCTGAATCATGTCCATTTTCTCTCTGTTAGTTCAATGAGATTGGATTGGATTAGATTAAGGCGGCACAATCAATACCTGGAGGAATTGTTGCACAAGTGAGAGAAACTCTTTATGCACTAAATCCTACGGGACTGCGGCATGCTATTGAATAAGGTGAGTTAGTTCCATTTTATGCACTAATAACTTCCTTTTCTCTCCGCAATTGCAACCCTGTAGTTATTGTACAACCCAGACAGGGGTCGTCTCTAAGAGTCTGGAATCTAACATACAGACAACTAAAAAGACAGATCATACAATCCAAAGACGAGGAATTGTCTACAGGCACTTAATGTTTCGTATGTAGCCAAGATCAATCATGAATATCAATTTGTATACCATTGTGTTGCCGTTTGATTGAAAATGATTCAAAGCATGAATAAACTTAACTTGCTGCCATATGTACACAAGGATGCTGTCAGCAAGATGTACATAAGCTAGTTCGCACCGAGATGTACACAAGGATGCTGCTGTCACTTGAAGCCAAAATTGCAATCAACATACTTTTAACCCGTAATTTTCAGAACTTAAACAACATACTGGCAGCAACATATTCCCATAGTCCATACCTCATCTAAATAAAATAGATGCATAATTAGAAGCTAACTGAAAGCCAAAGGGAACAACTGTACAGGCCATGGATCATCTACGAGAACTTTAGTACATCAGACACTCTGTTTTTTTTTGAAACAATATCAGACACTCTGTTTCAGTGTTTTTGTATACTGATTGTTAGTAATAACTTCTGAATTTCAGCCTTATATGAAACCCATGATGTAGGTTTGTCAAGATTGATAAATCTGCAGGAATGCATCTTGTCACCTGGATAGAATCTGCCTGAGTTGATGGCTCAGATCACAGCAAAATTGAGAAGCCTGCATCCCACCAATTTGGAGATTCTTTCCTGTGAACACAATCACAACCAGCAAATTGAAAAACTGAACATGGTTCCCTGAATCACAACTAGCAAATTGAAAAACTGAACACGGTTCCCTGAATCCGCCAAACTGAATAAGGTTGCGAGCAGTGGGTTTGCTTATGAAGCAGCAGTTCCTCTTCTCCACGACACAAGGCACGACGGACGACATAGGTGCCATCTGCAGCCGGGGGCCTTCACTGGGAGCGGAGACGGGCCTGATCTGCGGCATGCTGCCCGCGTGGGCGCAAGAAGCTAGGCAGGCAACATGTAGACGCCGAGCAACGTACGGATGCGCTGGGGCCTGACGAGGGCCGCGGCGGCGCAGGGCTCAGCGGCGGCCTACGACGGGAGCGGACACCGGCGCCGGCGTTGAAGGATGGAAGGCCACGACTGCTTGCGCGCACTGGATCCACGCCCTCGGGTTGGGGATGCCAGCTACGCATACAACGCTGCTGGAGACGGCGTCTTGGCCTCGGGCCACGGGACTTCCCCGTCGCCTCACGAGACGACGGCGAGCTCGTCTCCTGGCGTCGGCGGGGCGTTTTGCGCAAAATTCACATCGTGGAGACGGGCTCAAGAGACCCGTTACGAGCCTGTTCTGTCTCCATCTGTGGGTCCTCGACACTTTTTTTAGTATGATCGTCCAAGTGATCAATTCTGAACGCAACCTGGATGCATGCATGGAATTGGTGCCAATATGGAAGTGTGCCATGGAACCATGGCCCATGCAAGGCCAAGAGCCAAGCAAGGAGCATCAAACTCACCTGCACTATCCAAAATTGTTTTATTCTCAGTTTGTTGGAATTGTTGTCATAAATAAATTTTTCTGCCCTAGAAATTGTTTGCACTCACCTTGATTTATTATTATAGATTATCTGCATTTACTTTCGATGTTAAACATATTACTAAATATTGTGTTACAAAAAATAATTTGTAAATCCCCTATGAATGCAACATATGGAGTCTTTAGAGATAATGAGTTCTTAGGGGCCGTTTGGTATAGATTCTCGGACAGCTCCGGGAGTTGTTTTTTGGCTTCCTCAACCAAATGGCAAAAAATGGAGGCGCTCCTCGTGCGGAACCCCAGAAAAGGCGTTGAGAGGAGAGTGGAGAGAGGGAGGGAGCTAGAAAAACAAGCTTCCCCGGCTTCGTAACTTGCTGTGGGTCCAGGCG